GTGTGTTTATTTTCACAAAATATAAAATATGTCAAAATCCTTACATTTTAGGCATATGCTTCTTAATGAGACTGACCCTTATTTTTTCTCTACAATCCAAAAATCGATTAATATGTAGATGTATTTGATGTATTTCCATTACAAAAAAGAACAACTTTGATATGTAACTTTTTTGGGACACCCCATATAATTTTATAAAATGCTATTAATTAACCACCGGAGAGGCGCCACCCTGTAAAAGAAATATGTGTATATTACAAAAGAAAAAATAATAAAAGTCAGACAATTAAATATTGTATATTAAAACACTGTCAAACAAACAAATCAAGAAGTGCCTTGAAATTAGGTTTTGGTTTTATGAACTTCCTTTCTCTCTTCGGCGTTGAGCCACGACACTCTATCTAAAAGAAAACAAATATAACTATACAATTAAATATTGTTTAAATTTTCATTCATAATAAGCCTCTTACTTCAGCTGATTTGCTTATTTATGTTAAGTAAGAACACATTTTTCAGCTTATCAAAATATTTAATACATATTTAATATTTAAACTAAAGTTAATACAGTACATAATGGTAAAAAATGTTTGTATCTATATGGCGGATTCATCTCTCCAAAAAAATCCTATATGAGTATTTCGCCACTGCAAGAAAATGTACAAAATAAAATAGTTATTTTTTGTAAACACTGCTGCGTCAAACGGAAATTACTTGTCAATAGTTAGGTTTACAGATAAACAAATTTGCCTAACGAACAAAAAAATGTTAAGCTTTTTTTGTTCGTTAGGCAAATTTCCAAATCAATACAATGTTTTTTTATCCAATGTTTTTCTTTGTTTTTAAAGAACATAACATAAAAAAACATAACATACGCAAAAACTAAAAACAAATTAAAAATAATCATGCAGAAAATTTTGAGGCTTTTTGGTTTTACCTTATTAAGTAATTGTTATTAATTAGGTAGTAATTGTTAATTTTGAAGTTTAACTTGATATAATGGCATTTTAACAGAACGTTAACGGTTTTTGTAGACGTATCTGTTTTAAAAAGCTAAAGTGTTCTCGAATAGTTGCATTTAAATATTTTAAATAGTTTTTTTCTTTATTCTTTGTATTTTTTTTGCTTCCGTCGACGAAAAAAGATAAACTTTCCGAAACGTTAAGCATTTTTTTTTGTTCGTTAGGCAAGTTTGTTTATCTGTAATATAATAATAATAACTGCTGACAAGTAGTTTCCGTTGGATTAACGCAGCAGTGTTTACAAAAAAATAACTATTTTATTCTGTAGATTTTCTTGCAGTGGCGAAAAACCCATATAGGATGTTTTTGGAGTACATAATAGACCATACTAAAAATGTAATAATGCATTTGTTACGATTTTACCGAAATAACTAGACTTAATAATCATTCCACTAGGTAATGATTCTTAGATGAAGTATTTTTCGCTTGTATTTATTTATTAGCTACTAAAAATACAAAAAAGAAAAGCGTATTAGAAACAAAAAACAGATTGATAGAGACTCTTAACTATTGTGAAAGTCAGTGTTGATCTTTTTAGAAACTCTTCAATAAGGGATAAAAACTTGAGTGATACGACGGTTTATCGTTACAGTGTAAGATTAGTTTGAAATTACCTGTCCATTCAAAGACACCATCTTCTGGAAACCCTTTTTTATTGAACAGCTCTTTAAACATGCCTCTTAAATAGTCGTAATCTGGCGTTTCAAAAAAATCCAAATTTCGTACGTATTTTAAATAAGTAGCTACTTCATCAGGTTGACCTACGAGATGTAAAATTTTAATATAAATATTTATCAACAAATTTTAAAAAAATATTCGCGTAGAGTAGTTGTAGTTGGATTGGGATTTATAACTTTCTTTGGGGTTGCACTGATGAAGATCTGAATGTAGTAAGAAATAAATATGTTCGTGTACAGTTGTAAAAATATAATTTTATTAGACAATTTTTTTAGTATTATGACTAATTATATTAAAATATCTTTTTACAAAGTTTTTGATTACATTTTTTATCGTTTTTTTTTATTTATTTTTATCACATTTAATGGCGCAGATTATACCAACGAATGCCAAAAATTATTTTACTAAAATCAAATCAGTAACTCTATACTGGGTGCGTCCCAAAAGAGGCTCACCCCTATAACTTCTTTATTTTTCAGATAAGGTACGAGAGTTGGTATGTTAGTATATGACATAAATTAGGATTGATTGACGTATTCAATTGTTTTAGGTCATTTCCTGTTTCACCGGAAATGACTACAACTTTTGATTTTTAAATGGCACCCCCGGTATATTTTTACTTTATTCAATAGAAAATGACACTTTGAATAGAATGACGTATCATATGTCAACTTTTGACATTTTCGGATATGGTTGATTTGAAATTGTAACATGCGGTTCATAACGACAATTGGACTCGAAATACCAAGTGTGTGGTACCAAAAAATGCATTTTCCAAATATGCTAAAGAGCCACCCTGGTCCCATTTGAAAAAATGATATATGATTAAAAATACGATTTTGGCATCTTTTAACCGACCAGGACAACGAAAAACATTAGACTATCTAATCCATGGATCTAATGTCTTTTTCCAAGGTTCTTTGATTAAAAATTAGAGTTTTGAACACATTCGTAGCACTCTAGATTGAAATATAAAATACGTTTTTGGAGCGAGGGTTGTCTCACTATTGAAATAGCATATACATTTTCTTGGCAGTTTTGCGGCAGTCGAATATAATAATTACATAGCAGTCATAGACAGTCTTCCTCGCAGTCATTGGCAATCGTTTTGCATTAAAATGATATTTTGGTTTGGTTTGGTTTGGACACCCCTCAATTCAGATTCAGAATAAAGTAAAAATATAGCGAGATTGCCATTTAAAAATCAACAGTTGTATACTTGTTTCCACCTGACACTTCCCAATATGGCGGACTTCAGTATGGGAGGCTTAAAAAACGAAAATCTCTAGACTGGAATCGACTGTAGTTCAAATCGTTCAAATTGATAATATGTGGTAAATCTAATTGAACTCTGACACTTGGCTGACGTTTACGGTTCCTTTTTCTAAATATTTTCATTATTTTTTGAGTTTTTATTCACAAATTCTACTTGATTTTGTTCTTTTATTTAACATGCAGCCTGCAGTACTAATTATATACTTATAAATAATATTCTCACCGATCAAGAACTGAGGAAAATATGCTGGAAAATATTCAAAAAATGTGTAAAATGCTTAAAAACGTATTAGAAAACATTGACACGTCCACAAAGTTTCCTCGTATCAGTAATTTTCAGGTTTGTAAGATGTATATGATAATAAATAGATTAAAACTTATATTAATTTCAAGAAACAGCGCGGGCATTACAGATTGTTGTAAATTAGTTTTAAAATATAAAGAAAGTTTAAAACAGGTTTAAAAGTTGAGCTAGTAGAGAAGATCTAAATAAGGTAATTTTGGTAATGGGACCAAAAATAACACTTGAAATATATAATATGTACAATTGTAAGTAGTTTTTATGAATCTGTTTGATATATATTGCATTGTTTTTATATTTCTTGAAATATATATTTTTTTTTACTTTACAGGATACACAAACAATAATAAAAAAATACAGTTACTCACTAAAAGCACTTAAGGTTTGTAATAGATGTAGTTAGAATATCAAACACCAAACCAAACCAAAAATTATGTTTTATTTTACTGGTATTCCTCACATTTGAAAGGAAAGTCATTTCATAAATAAACAGAACATCGTATAGTACACTCTATATTAATAATTCTTTTTTATCCTATACTTGTTAGTTGACGCATTACTAGGTATAAAATTTAGTACTGATTCCAAACCTATAGTTGTGGTTGTTGATATTTTCTGATGTGTTTCTGTCAATTTAACATAAGTTAATATTTAAACAAACATTTCTGGCTTTCTTGACAGGAGTGTGAACACAAATTTAATAAAGGTATAATGTGAATAATGTTCTGATTATTTGCATGGATGACTGTTTATGTATGTTGTTATTTTTAATCAAGTATATTTAATGAGTTTTTCAGTATTTTTTTCCCTCAAAGGATTGTGTTCTAATCCTTATATATAAATTTTCATAAATTATATCTACAAAATTTATTACCTTATAACTTTTTGCTAAAGACTTTGTAGTTGATACAGTTTAACAGTATATAAAAGAACTATTTAAATAAGATGTTTGAAAATATATAGCTGTTTTTGCACACATCAATTCAATTTGTGATTAACTGTACTGAAATAAAAACAAATTAAGAGAAATGGGGTGATCTATCAACTATAACATGAAAAGCATCATCCTATTTCCAAGTCTTCTATTAATTTCACTTATTAAACAACTATAATTATTCAATAATCTTGATAATTCTAGGAACTCTCAGATATCGTCAAAACATGAAAACAAAAATTTACTTCCTATAGTTCTTACGTCCCTTTAACTGAAATATAAGAAACAGGGGAGTTAATATTCTCACTGAGAAAGTTTATAAAATACCTTTAAGTAAAATCTCTTCGGATCTGCGGTAAAATACCTTTATTCTTATTAAATAATTTCAATAATCTATGTTTTTATTTATGACAACCACCTAATAACCTAACTTTAACGTCAACTTGACAATCCTGAAAAATATTATTGTTAACCAAAGAGTAAATCAATTTCTGATTCGCTAACGCCAACTTATTTTTCATTTAAAAAAATTACCAATTTTCGTAACTAGGTCGGCCATATTGAGAACTTTTAAAAGAATTGTAGTATAGTCATTTCTGGTGAAACAGGAAGTGACTAGTAAAACAATTGATCACGTCAATCAATCCCTACTTTTATGTCATATACTAACATACCAAATCTCGTTTTTTATCTTAAAATAAAAATTTAATTATTGTATTTAAGATGGACTAAATTACCTTCACATACCCGATTCAATTGGGGTAGTTCGTTTGTATCTCCGATTTTCTGATAGCTAGTTCTTCAGCGTGTCGGCCTTGAGACCTTGCCACGGCAACGACCCTCTTAGAAAATAGACAAACATATGGCCCAACGCTTCCAGGTCATCTCGTCGAGACTGCTCCCTTCCCAAATGCGTGTTTATGCTCATATATCTTGCCGTTCCAGTTAATGATTTATGTTCCCTAAGGAATTCAAAATTAAATTTACCTTTCGTATTTTTAGAGAGAAACATTCTATCGGAGTTCGTAGCGATATTTAACAATTCGTCTTGTTGAGATGAAGTTCATTATTCATAACTCGTGTGTTTATGATAGAAAGATATTAAAAATAATATAAAAAATATTATGAAGGTGAATTTTGTAACAAAAGCGTTTTTAAATAATAATGTGATTGCAATAATAAAAAAATATTGCTATACCACTATACAGGGTGATTCACGGCCATGACGCGTTAGACGTTTATGGATAACCGATGATAGGATTTTTTGAAAGTTTGGATATTTGTATACCTGCTCTATCTGTCTAAATTTTTTTTAGCAATACAGTATTGCCGCTCCATACTAAAAGTGGTAGCATCTTTGTTATTTTAAATGGAACACCCGGTATTTTATTATATTTTTTGAAACTACTTCCATATTTCAAAAAGTTTCTATTATGCTAACTTATTCCAATCTGTAATAGTTTTTGGAATAAAAATAAAACATATGTGTAAAATTGACAAAAATAAAATATTGATTGATTAAATCATAAATTCGGCATATTCAAAGCTAAAATTTGGTTTATACGTTAAGGAAAGTCGACATATTCGATCTGTCTAAACATCATTCGAACTGTCAACTGATTGAATATCAAAACAGTCAGGTCAGAATATTTCCGTTTGTTAAAAACAAAATCGTTGAAATTCTTGTTATTTTAAATTCAAATCTATGTATACAGGGTGCTAAAAATTCGGGGTACGAGCATTGGTATTTCGGTAACCGTAATAGATACGAACGTGGTTAAATTGGGGCAAAGTTGCGCTTTAGGATGTTCACCAAGATGCCATCAAAAAAGTTTTAAAAATTTCAAGGATTGCTGAGTTTTTTGGAAAAGACGGATTTTTTTGAAAATCAATTTTATTTTTTCCTGTCGTTACTTTTTAGAATGTCAAAAAACTAATTGCACTTTCTCATAGCCACTTTATCTGATGGTATTTTTAGATCTTCAAATTAGCTGATAATTTGTGAGATACAGAGGCTAACTTAATTTTTTTAAATACGGACCTGCATTTTTTATTTCAGGTTTTAAATTTTGTGTACATTGTACATAAAAAACAATAAGGGAATGCCAGTTTATTTTAAACGTGGTTCTTTTAAAACATATAGGGTAATAATTACTTTAAAAGGACTAAATATTAGATATCTGATAAAATAGTATTCACTTTATTTCTAATGCTTTAATTTTTATTATGTATACAAAACAATATTATATTATCAGCAATCGTTTATGAAACAAATAATTAGGTAAATCGAATTCCACAGAACGAGTTTTCATCATTTTAACGTGATTTATTGTGCATTCTACAATGCATGTTTTTTCTGAGTGTACATGTATTATTTTTTATCTGAAAAACTGTTAGAGATAAAGACTGTTCAGTCATCGTTCACCGTTACGTCATCATTATTTGTCAAATATGAGTTTTAGGGTGTGTCTGAGATCAGTTCAGATTGTTTAGAAAATTTGACACTGATTGATGTCCGTTAATAAAATTATAACACCAAATCAAATGACAATGACAATTACTAAAAAGAATATGCAGTAATTTACGAAATGCCGTAATGACGTCATCAATCTCTTTCATCTGGTTGTCAAGTAAAAGAGGAAGTTCGACTCACACATTCTATACCTAGGTATAGGTTAGTATAATAGGAAAATCATGAAATATAAAAGATATTTTCAAAAATGTAATAATATTGTCAAGACTTAAATATAGGCCAACTTGGGTTTATATCAAATTGGGAAAAATCATGTAAAATATAATTCCAGTAAACCAATTTGATCTAGAGAAAGGGAATCGTTCACGTATACGTTGACCTAGACATGTTCTTATAGTAAACATTGTTAATTTAAAACAATTAAAGTCAGGTCGATGTAGCGTGATGTTTCAAGGCAAGCTCGTAATAAACATCGGTGCTGGAAAGATACAAAAAAATTTTTGAGCACGCACCCGCCAATGATTGGGACGAGCGGACAAATATAAAAGGGTATGCTGAAGACAGGGAAGAGGTTAGTTAGTTAATTAGTCCGTCGGTGTGAGTCGCATTGTTAGTCCGTGAGTTGGCTAGTCAGAACCAGTAGAAGATAGCGCAGAATGAAGATGTTCCTGTAAGTACCTTCTTTGAGTATACCATATATTGAGTCTTGGCATTTCCCAAATTTGTTATCTACATTGATTCCTTATGTATGTAGTTATATGTTTAAATAAATGCATATTATATCTAATGGTTGTTTTGATTAAGAGAGAGAACCTGGTATAGCGACCCTAGCAAACAACCCCAAGCTAGGTCGCGACAATATACTGGGTGTTCCATTTAAAATAAGAGATATGCTACCATTTTTCAAATGATGCGCCAACATTGTAATGCTGAAAATCTTTAAAAGATGGATCAGGTGCTTTTATGTAAAAATCCGATTCTCCATAAACGTCTAACGTGCCATCTCCGTGAATCGCCCTATATAGTAGACTGAAACACTTCCATATTACAATTTCTGTTTCAGATTATTAACATTATTTTGGAGAAAAACATTTTATCAAAGTTCGAAACAAATAATTAGGTAACTTACACCTTTCGAGTTGTAGAAGCAAAGTTTATTATTCATAATTTGTGTGTTTATGATTATCCGGTATTAAAAATAAGAAAAAGTAGTATTAAATTGAAGTTAACTTTTGAAATAGAAGTGTTTTAAATACTAATTAAATAATAAAAAAAATATTAGTAATCCACTACACAGTGCAACAAAACAGCTCCATGTTATGATTTCAACAACTTCCTAGGTCTGTTGATTATAACCAAAAGCAAAAACATGGTTTTTGATGTAAAAATTACGAGAAAATACTAGTGCTTCAAAAAAAGCGAATATCTTCAACTGAAAAAGCTATTGAGATGAACCAAAGAATAAACTATCGAACAAGGATGTACCTAGATGATAAAATAATTTTTAAATTCCTTGCTGTCTTAACATATTCCACAGAATGTTTCACCAAAATATCAACAATTTGTTTTCCCTCGTATAATTAACAGATAAGAACTTTCGCTTTTAATTTAGAAAGAGATACTAAAAAGTCAAATAATTTAGCTACATATTACTTAAAAAATCATCAATTTTTTTAAAATACCCCATATGCACGCCCCTGATGAATTTATCGACACTTATATGGCATTGTAATCGCAGAACATTTTCTGATTCACGTCGTTAATCATATCGACATTGACACTAAAGTCTATAAACCTGACTAAATGAAATTTTGGCAAAAATATTTAAATTGGTTGTATACTTTAAGATACCGAGCAACTCTGCATAAAAAGTTAGGTGGCATAATTGTATTGTTCGACGATATCCACTTCTCGATATCCTTATAGACTAGGAATTCTATCTGGGACTACTAATTCTTGTACTACTTTTTTTTTATCGCAATGGTACATGAATAAATAAATAAATAACCCATAATAACGCTTAGAATAATCTTCATAATAGACTAGTTTTTGCCAATATGTAATAAATAAAATAAGCTATAAAACAAATAAATCAATTAATTACTAAAATATCAGTTATTAAATTAAAAATAAAACGTAAAAATCTGTAAAAAATGATATAACAAATATATTGCTTGTCACTAATTAAATGATCACAATTCATCTCATAAATCCATCACAAATTGGCAGCGCTATCGCCATCGCTTGTCACTCAAAGTTGATCACGTGCATCGGAAATTGTTTTGCGATTACATAGTAACTTTTACCCTCAAAATTTCATTCGAATCACTAAAAGCACTTGGAAGGAAATTATAATAAATCGAACGATTATTAAGATTTTAATACCCTGTAGCTACAACACAAAACAATATCGGACCTATGTTGATATAAAAAATAAATCTTATTTTTACGTTAGTAATCTCCCCACGAGAGATGGCACATGTTTTTTGAAACACTCTGTATACCATTTTTTCTAAAGGCAGTTCAAACATTTTAATAAACTCTATCATAACGTTTTCCCGTCATATTTTATTTTATTTTCCTATATTAAATTTCCTAAAAAACCGAATTCAATTTAGAAAAGCAATTAAAACGTCCTTTCACGTGGATAAAAATAAATGCACATTCATTCAGAAAAAAGAGAGGATATCGCAGTCGACTAAAACCGCCAGAATTGGCAATATATAAAATATTTTTCGCATCGCTCACTTGTACGGTATGTGCTTTCCAGATTCGGGATCGATATATTCCTTGGCCAAGCCGAAATCGATGATATGCACAATTTTCTCTTTTTTCGATTTGGATCGGCCAATTAAAAAATTTTCCGGCTTAATGTCCCTGAAGATCAATCGTTTCGAGTGCACGAACTCGATGCGGGTCAAGAGCTGATCTGCAATCATCAGGACCGTTTTCAAACGGAATTTCCGACTGCACAAAGTGAACAGGTCCTCGAGACTGGGACCTAGCAGTTCCATCACCATGGCGTTGTACCGGCCGCCGCACGTACCTAAATGGTAAACCTTGGGTACTCCTAAAAATAAACTAAAATATATTGGTCTTGTTAAAATTAATAAGAGTTTATTTTTTTTTTCCTTAAACCTTTAGAAATTTATATATATTTTTTTTTCTCCTTTCTTGGGTATGAGGTTTTTTTTTATTGAGTTAGAATGTGAATCACATTCACATTCTTCTATATAGACTGGTGGTGGCAAGGCGGCTGCGGCTTCAAGAATAAAGTGCCTGAGAAAGCCCACCATGATGAGGCGAAACGTCGCATAATAAAAAAAAGTTACCATTTTCAATTAATAAAAAAAACCTCATACCCAAGAAAGGAGAAAAAAAAATATATGTTAAAATTAATAATAAAATTATATAAAAACTCTTGCCACTTAACTGCTGATATAGAAATTTAATTCTACGCTGTTTGTCATAATGTGGATCAACCTGCTCTCACTACCTATTTATAATTTGGCTTTCCTGAAAAAAGCCCCTTTTACCATCCTTTTAGTATCGATAGTTGCGCCTCGGTGGCACGAAAGTACTACCATTGCACGCAGGCCGCTATCTCCCGTTCGGGACTTAATATCTAACCGATACTTTCCGACTAGTCGGAATTAACTACTCTGTGCTGTGGTTGTCATTTTGTGGATCTACCCAAGCTCACCTGATGATGGAGTAGGGCTCCGAAACTGGTAGTGAGGGCAGGTTGATCCACATTATGACAAACGCAGCGTAGAATTAAATTTCTATATAAGCAGTTAAGTGGCAAGAAGTCTTATATAATTTTATTATATAGCTATACTGCAAGAAATTTGTTTTCTATTAAAATTAATGTATTCTGGCAAATATTTCAGATTAATGATGGGAAGCTTTTACGTGTTTTGGTGTCAATGAGAGGCTGCAAGAAGGTCTTCGAATTCTTGTTTTTATAAAATTGCTGTGTTGACTGCAAAAATGGTGTCAACACAGACAGCAGAGGCTCAGATGGGTACCAAAAGTGTAGCTGTTAAAACAACGCAAGCGAGTACAAGGTCGAGTAACCTCCCCCCTACTGCGGAGCTAGGAAGTGGATGAACTTCTAGACAAATTAACTCTAAAGCCGGGTCCAGACCAAGCAGACAAAATAGCGACAAGATAGAAACATTTATGTTTTACGACAAAGTTGCGACAAATCCAATATATTTCTGAGACATTTTTTATCTCATTTTTGTTTTGTTTCCAAATTCGGAGACTTTTGAATGTCCCGCCTTGAGTCGGTAAAGTTCAAAAAGTCTCTGTTTTGTCGTGTATAGGGAATGCAATCCCGCAAATGCGGGATCCCTCTGAGATTCTGCGGGATCAAAGTTGTGGGATTTACCGTGCGGATCCGCGGGATCGACCCATTACTACTGGGTAACCGAATCGATCTCGATCAGGGTCAAACCGTTTCGTTCCGGGCCGATGCGTCGACGGTCGGAACCCGGGAGATTCCCCTTACGGCTTGGCCATTAAAAATAAGGGAAACAAACAGGTTGCTTGTTAGATTTCTTTCTGGCGTATGTGCGTAAATGAAGAAAAGCGTTTAACTAGTACTTGTGGACAATTTTGTCAAATAAACTGCCGGACATATGTAATTATCGGGACAAGCAAACTTTTAGGGTAAATTTAAAGTTGAATAGGTATCTCTTGAACTAAAAAAGATTTTGGGATACGGTTTGGACCAGGTTTTAGATGCATCTATTGTGATTAAGATGCTATATGGTTTTCGAAAATATATTTAGCGAGTTCTCGTATACCGGGTGTTTTATAAGAGTGTGAAAATTTGGTCAAGAATCTTTTTTACCGCAAATTTACAATTTTTAAAAAATCGAAATTTTTACCAAGTACGACTAATCTGTATTGAAATTAGAAAAAACAATTTGATAGGTTTTTTAATTGTTTTTTTGATTTTAAGGAAAATACGACGTTTTTTTTAAAAAATATGCATTTTTAGTCATACGTATGGTCCTAAATGGTACAAAAAGCTTTGTAAATTCTGCATATGCCAAAAAATTATTGATATAGAGTGTATCTAAAAGCAGATAACTAACACAAGTTAAAAAAAAACTTCATCAGAATAATATTTTTATTTATAAAAATAAGTAGATAACTTATAATAAAATTTAAGTTTATTTAATATTAAATATATTTTTTGAACACCCTGTACATTGGTCCAAATTTCTGTACAGCTAGTTTAAGATACACGCTATATCAGTATATTGTGCACCTATGCAAAATCTACAATGCCTTTTTTACCATTTAGGACCAAATGTATGACTATTGTTTACAGTCCTGCAATTTTGCGGATCCGCGGGATTGACAGCTTTAATCCCGCGGGTTTGCGGGATTGAGATTTTGGAGCGGGATAAGTTGTCAGCGCAGTGTGGATGTCGTGCGTTGCCAAAAATAGGAAACCAGTTTCACAAAATTAGTGCTGTGTAGTGGTACTGATAATATATGACATTAGTACCGTACGACGAAAAAAAAACGACGTCAGCTATGGCTATGAAATGAAGAACGCTATCATTTTCTATGTAAACTTATATGGGAAATGCCATCAATCCTCATTTTCCAGCTAACTGGACGCCGTTTTTTTCGATCATATGGTATATGGTGGAGTGCTCCATCTTTGTCAGAAGAGAAAAAGTCAAAAAATGTCAGAAGAGAAATAGTGAAACACGGAAAATAGCGCAACTTAATCGGCAAACTAATAGCGCTAAACTAACAGCGCATTTATTATTATGGGAGCGTAGAAACAAGGACAAAAATGGTTACAAGAAAGTTAGTGTATTGGAAGAGATTTGTTTAGCATTAAATATAAACTCGGTTGATGATGTTAAGAAGAAAATAAGAAATATTAATAACTATATAGTATACGAGAGAAATAAAAACAAAAACATTTTGCGTTTCTTTTTGCAACATGGGATTTATGTTTTGGGAAGTCAAAGACAACACTACTGGCTGATAGTAATATACAGGGTGGGCCACTGAAAACTTACAATGGCTATAATTTTTAAACCAAAAAAGATATCAAAAAAATTAAAAAATACCGTTCCTATAATATCGAGGGGGAATACATATGACGTATTTTTTGAAGCACCCCGACCTACCCCTAGGGCGGCACCACTACTCACTTAAAAATCTTAAATGGCAACACCCCACTTGTGGCGCCTTTTTGGAAAGCCCATGAAAAATGCTAAACGATGATCATAAAGTTTTTAGGGTGAAATTGAAAAACTACCCCTTACACGAAAAATTAGGTGGACGTTAATGAGGAAAGTGATCTTTTCAGCACAAGTTACAAATTGGGACCCAGCTAAATGAGGTTTTTTTCAAACTACCCCGACCCACCCCTAGGTGCCACCCCCTCACTTCTAACCTCAAGATAGCGATACCCCACTTGTGACACCTCTTTGGAAACCGTATAAAAAATGCTGAACGACTGTCATAAAAAAGAACGAAAAAAATAGAGCCTAAAAATAAAAAAAATGTCAAAACGTGTCAAAATCAATAGAATGAATTGCAAGAAAAAAAAGCTGGTACAAAGAAATTTATTATAACTCTTAATGAAGACCTCATACACTTTCAGCAAGATGGAGCCCCTTCGCATTATTCTATTGTCACAAGGCGGTGGTTGGATAAATATTATACAAGGCAATGGATTGGCAGAAGGGGTCTAATCGAGTGGCCGCCAATGTCACCTGACCTCACTCCTTTAGACTTTTCCTTCTGGAGTTACACTAAATCCATAGTCTACAAGACAAAACCAGGTTCGTTGCAAGAATTGCGGCAGCGGAGAACTGAAGCATGTCGAAATATTCCGAGAGAGACTTTCCAAAAAGTGAGAGAAGAATTTGAAAATCCTTTGTATTTTTGTATGGAACAAAACAGCTGTCATTTTGAGCAATTATTAAAATAAATTATCATTTTAAATTTCTTTCAAATTGTCACACCTACATTTCTTGTTACTAACCAGTAATTAAGTTGAAGTCTGTATGACCATCGTTTAGCAATTTCAATTAGCTTTCCAAAGAAGTGTCACAAGTGGGTATCGCTATCTTGAGATTAGAAGTGAGGGGGTGCCACCTAGGGGTGGGTTGGGGTGGTTTGAAAAATACTTCATTTGCGTCATTTAGCTGGGTCCCAATTTGTAACTTATGCTGAAAAAATCACCTTTTTCATTAATGTCCACCTAATTGTTAGTGTAAGGGTAGTTTTTCAATTTTACCCTAAAAACTTTATGATCATCATTTAGCATTTTTCATGGGCTTTCCAAAAAGACGCCACAAGTGGGGTGTTGCCATTTAAGATTTTCAAGTGAGTAGGGGTGCCTCCTAAGGGGTAGGTCGGGGTGGTTCAAAAAATACGTCATATGTATTCCCCCTCGATATTATAGAAACGGTATTTTTTATTTTTTTGATATCTTTTTTGGTTTAAAAATTATAGCCATTGTAAGTTTTCAGTGGCTCACCCTATATATTTATCTTCTTTCTAGTGGAAAGGTCACATGATTAATAAAACTGATTCGCATATACTGAACTTTGTTGAAGTTTTATCCTCGCGGTATAGACAGTTTGTCTCAAATCTGTCTTGTCTGAATTGCCCATTTTTTGTCGCGGGTTTGTCTTGTTTTTGTCTCAAAATTGGGTTCACTTTCTGTCGCCTTAATCTGGACCCGGCAGAACAGGAATACTGCATAGAGTATGCAGACTACACTGCATAGAGTATGCAGATGATATAGTCATGTGTGATATTATCCAAGAGATGGTACTCAACTCAGACAAAACCGCGGTTATGCCATTCACCAGAAAGCGAAGTATGAAAAAATTCAAAGAATCCAACTAGATAAATAATTATGATAAAAGAAATACTGCCATCACAAGAAGTAAAATATTTGGGAATAAACCTTGGCAGTAAGCTTCTATGAAACGGGCATATTAAAAACATTATCAGCAAAGCCACAAAGGCTCTCATGATATGCAGAAGACTGACGGGAAATAGATGGAGCTGCGCCCCTAACATTTTGCGCTGGATGTATACCATGATAGTAAGAGCCATGATTACCTATGGAGTAGTTGCTTGGTACAAAAAACTAGAGCAACAGTAAAGAAAAACATGTGCAAATGCATCTGCATCACAGGAGCCAAGAGAACATACCCAACAAGAGCAACGGAGGTCATTCTAGACCTAAAAATGGTTCTTATTATTTTTTAGGTAGAATTAGTAGTTTTCGAGATATTCCGCCTCGAAGAATGTTCTCTCCATATCTTAACGCTCCGGAGGGGCCGATTTCCCAAGCGTATCATTGATGAGTGCAACTCAGAAAGTTTGAAGTATTTGTTTAATCACATTTTAATAAAAAAAAACAACTATTCGTGAGCGGCTTTTCCGCTTTTTTGGAATTTTCGAAAAAATGTCTTAAACATATAGCGTTTTTTTAAACCACTACCACTGCGAACGGCAGCTTTTCATCGGAGAGCAGTCGTGGATAAGGTACCTATTTCACTGGAGAAAAACTAATTAATAATAATAAACAAAAAAACATAGATATTGGGCGCCAGGCAAGAAAACACAGTTGTATATTACTTAAAACTAATGACTATATTTATTCATGATGTTCATTGATGGTAAATAACATTGTAAAACTTTAATAATTATAGTGGTTATATTATGTCGAAGAAAGTTATGTTAAAAATAATATTAAATACGTCCAATGAAAGACTATGCAAAATACAATATAGATAGAGCTAAAGAAAATATTAAAATGTAGCATTACTTTAATTAATTTGCTAAATTTGATACGATATTAAATCTAAGATGTTGCAAGCGTAGATTCTAGAATCTGTTCGGTTATTCATCTTTAAAATCACACAATAGATATATACAGAAAGTAATACTATTACAAGATATGTTCGTAATGAAACCTAAGATCTAAATCATATTTTGAATACTAAACTGTCAAAAAGATTAACCACTAGACGTAAAGTCTGTACGATATTATTCAAGATGTATGTTATTGTTTTAAGACTGAAAATCTAAATGTAAAACATAAAACCAGAACTTAAATGTAAACTTAGCTGATTGTTCTTGAGGCAATCCTGCTTCAAACAGTAACAGCATGAGGTGGGACATTCGTATCTCTGTACATTCTCTCGGCCAATGCAATAAAAGGGGCCAGGATGAGGACACCATGAACTAATACAGCCGTAACTATCGATTAGGCTTAAAAACAGAAACGAAGCAGCATGGGACCTACGCCACATCCACGCTGGGGCAATCTGTACATAAGATAAACCATCCCTACATGGGACACTCGTCCACAGGACATCTGTACATAGCAACACTACCCGTACCTTGGAACACTACTAGGACCTTGAATACTATCCGTACCTTAGACATCCAACCATAAAATAATGTCCGTAACTTGGACCATAACTTTGGACCCTGAAAATACGAAACTCTTGTTTAAAACCAAACAAGGTCTAATAAGCCAAATAAACTTACCTCGAATTACTTCCGAGGGCTCAATAATAAACAAAGAAACTGTCCTTCCTTCCATGTAACATTCTGGAGGACAAAAGCAAAAGAACACCAATGTGCCAGCAAAATATAAATACGAGTTAAGATGGGCTAATCCAAAACTCTACCCTAAAAATACGCAGTAATAATAACGAATCTAATAAAGATAATAACTCATCTTTACTTGTAGCTTCAAAATAGCAGCTGATTCAGATTTTGCAGCAAGATTTAAATTACCATTTCTAAAAACTGGGGTACAACAGAGCGGCAAAACAAAGTGAGGTTAAAGTAGTATATTAGTTTAATGGCCACAGCTGCCAGGGCTATCCGGCCGGATGGTAGAATTAACTACCTACGGTTGAGCGTTTAGATAGATGATGACACACAGACGAGGATCGCTATAAAGCGAGCATGGGAAATCCCATACCCCGACTGTTGAGTTGAAGAAAATGTTGGCAAAGGAAGATCCTGCAAAATAAACAAATTTAATAACAATTTCATTTAAAATGTCAAAGATTAATTCCACAACTATCTAAGAATTCGCCTATAATATTAACTACAACTGGATGAGCATGCAAAGCGGAGGTAAAATTATGAGGGGATGTTTTGTAAAAGCCAATAAGTGATTTATATAGTTTATCTACAAAAGCGGGAAATTTATTGCATTCAAAAAAGATGTGGTTTAACGTGCCAATTTCTCCACACTCACATAAGGAATCTGCATTTACACCTATACGATGTAAATGGGACCGAATTAGACAATGTCCGCTTCTTAATCTGAAGAAGGTTGTCAATCTTTTCCTGCTGAGGTTAAGCACGGATCGCGAAACCTTGGAGCGATGTTGACAGCGCCTCCACAGAGCAGTGAAACAATAACAGGGTTGTGGACTAGAGAACCTAAAAATTACGCCAAGCGTCTCAAACAAATTATCAGGCCTGAATGATACGAAATCCGGTGATGATACGCCAGACATCATATATCATATACAAAGATATGAAACGAACTAAAAACGTTAGAAACAAAAAAAAATTGCATAATAATCTTTCAAAGTATATTGTACATGTCTATTTTCCCGGATATAATGGATAACTTGATAACCTTCACCATTTGATTAAAATATCAGCTTCTAACAGACATCCTACGCCCCTTGGCGGTCTAGGGCTGTTGAACATGACTTACAAAATTGTGTATGACAATGCTTGTGATATCTGACACCCGCATATTTTTTGACAAAGAATCTTTTATTAGTGAAAATATGAATAAGTTGATAAATAAAATGTATTTTCGAGGCGGAATATCTCTAAAACTACTAATTTTACGTAAAAAACTAAGCTTCATTTTTTATTCCAAGAAAAAGTTTGTAAATTGCATATTTTGGCAGGTATTTGCGAAAAACTGATTTTTGAGCCATTTGGGGCCATTTTTTCGCTAAAGCTGGCCAAGCACGATTTTTTTTTCTAAAACTACTCCCCAAAAGGTACACAATCCGCCTGGAAAGTCCCGGTCAACGAATTAAGCCGCGGTTTCAACCTTCATTTACTGGACTAAAGTATTTATAATTCAAGGAGAGCTTTATGAGATAAATAAGCCTGTTTAGACGTATATTTATTAATACTCACCTTCTTGCTGTCCCAACATTTTGTAAAACCGGTACTCGAGCTGTAACTGGGGCGCTTTGGTCTTGAGAGGCTCCAACTTGATGGCCACGTGTTCGTTATTGTACAGATTCTTGCCAAGCCTGATCTCGCCAAAGTTGCCGTTGCCGATCTTCTTGCCGACTCTAAAATTAGGCCCGACCATTAGACCTCCGGACGAGGCGGAAGAGTGAGCGGAATGCATTTTAGGAAGAGGAAGATTTTTCGACTCTAGAACATAGAAGAAGAATACAAAGAAAGTTAATTTTATGATAAAAATTGTTAGCGAAAAAAATTACCAATACCCTTCTGTTCTAAACCTTAATAGTCGAAGAAAATAAGCCTTTAAATACGAAGTTTTCATAAAAAATTGAAGTTACCTGTAAAGTTTTTTTTTTTAAATCCACCCCCGAGAAGGGGTGAAATAAATAAATAAAATTATTTTTTCGAAATTTCGGAGAAACGGTAAAGACTAGAAAAATAAAAGTTCAAATAAAAGTTATAGAGTGTCTACTTTTACATAAAAATTGTCTCTATACTTTTTTGCTCAAATAAAAATTAACCGAGATAGGGTGACTAGAAGATAGGGAATGAGAGTAGAAATTTACAAAAAAAATGCTGAAAAATTAATACACATAACTTTTTTTTTAATTTGTTTGGAAAATTATAAATTTCAATCAAAAAAAATATAAATAGTGTTTTTTTTTTCAAATTTCAGAGAAACAGTAAGGACAAAATATGTTTCAATACAAGCTGTCCTCTAGCTTCTAGCCACCCTGTCTCTATAAGGTATGACATTACGTCCTTCTGTTCTGGTTTACTTAAAGAGAATATCATGGAAGAGCTCATCGATTTGAAGCTCAATACAGAGGGGGACCAGCACAGCACATGATATTGACTACGTCATCACTATTCTCTAGATATTTTAACTTAAAAACGTGATTAGATTCAAGAAATGTGGTATATACGTTGTTAAAAACCACCTAAATAAAAAACTGCTATATATTCTTCTTCTATGTCTAAAATCAAATAAATTACCCGATATATTGGAGGCTGTGGTAAGGCAATCGTGGGTATAGTTGTTGGGCGTACGGTATTTTCATCATTTTTGTGCCTTTAAAAGGTCTCCATCTTAATGTTATGAATTAATGTCTTCACTTACTTAGGTATGGTGCTTAAATGTTCTTAAACAGGAGATTTTTTATATAAAATACACAAAGGCTAAATAACCGCCGGCGGTATTGTGAGTATACAGGGTTGTTCACCGCTTACGACACGGAGTATTGTAGCTAAATGATTAGATTTTTACAAATTGTAAGTTTTGGGTTCATTGAAGGACTATTAGAGCTACAATTTAAAAATATTTTTACAAGATACAGGGTGTCCCAAATAAATAAAAAATATCAAAGTTGTATTTTTTTTAAATGGAACATCCTGTATATTATTACATTTTTAGTTTCTACAATTAAAATAAAGGTAAATTTGATTAAGGTTTATTACACTTAAACCTTACCGTTTTTGAAATATATTCAATTTTGTGAAATTGCAGTAAAAATTTTAAGGCTTCATTTCTCCAAGGGTATCAAAGTTTTTAATACTAAATATTTACTGAAGTCTATTTATTTATCAGTTATTGTGTTGCAATAATAAAAATAATTCTATCTCATACAGAGTGTTTAAAAATTTATTTTAACCTATTTCTAGCTTTAAATGGCAATAACTTGTTTCATTTAAATGGAACGCCCTATATATTTTAGGAGAATCAGATGCACAATTTAATTGTCTATCAAATTGTATTATACCACTTTTTACCTATCCCTTCAAGTTTTCATAGAAAATGCATTTCCTTATAATTTAGACCTCATTTATCAATATACCCATGGAATATTGACATTTTAGATTGTTTTTAAAGCAACAAATGTACAAAATGTACGGGCTAGTAATATTATCGTTCTTAGCAAAATTATAATATTATTAGCCCATTTGTATGCAAAAAGAAAACTATTTAAATCTTTAAAGAAGAGTATACCATTAATTAAATATACCACCATTATTTCCGCCCAAATACTAAGTAATTACATACTTAATTATGTTCGTTAATAAATTATTTTAAATAAATGTGGATTTGAATCATAAATAAATATAATAATAAGTTATGAAAATGAATGTCTCTGTTATAGATTAGCATTTGTCAAAAAATGAAATATCATTTTTAACGTGTTACTTTTTACCACACTGTCTAATACACATACAAAATTTAGTTTTTTTAGTATTTGGAGCAATTATTATTAATCAACGCAAACAGTCAATTAATGTAGTTTGAATACTGGAATCATATTAATTGGTCCTCTTTCACAAATATTTAAACAGTTTTATTTTTATTTTTTAACGAAATAAACAAACTATATCGATAATATTACTATCCGTACTCTTTAAAAATTTGGTACATCTTTAAAAATAATCTGAAACGTCAGTATTCCATAGATATGTTGATAAATGAGTTCTAAATTACAAGAAAATGCATTTTCTACGGAAACTTAAAGAAATAGGTAAAACATGCTATAATACAATTGATAGACAATTAAATTGTACATCTGAGTCTCATAAAATATACAGGGTGTTCCATTTAAATTAAACAAGTTATTGCCATTTAAAGCTAGAAATAGGTTAAAATAAATTTTTAAACACTCTGTATGAGATAGAATTATTTTTATTATTGCAACACAATAACTGATCAATAAATAAACTTCAGTAAATATTTAATATTAAAAACTTTGATACCCTTGGAGAAATGAAGCCTTAAAATTTTGACTGCAATTTCACAAAATTGAAAATATTTCAAAAACGGTAAAGTTTAAGTGTTATAAACCTTTATCAAATTTACCTCTATTTTAATCGTAGAATCTAAAATGTAATAATATATAGGGTGTTCCATTTAAAAAAATACAACTTTATAATTTTTTATTTATTTGGGACCCTCTGTATCTTGTAAAAATATTTTTAAATTGTAGCTCTAATAGTCCTTCAACGAACCCAAAACTTTTTTTTTAGAATTAGAAGATTTTTTTTAGAATTTGTGAAAATCTAAAGGTTTAACTACAATAATCCGTGTCGTATGTTGTGAACAATACTTATACAAAAATATACCGTCATCCGGCGTCACAGTATTTCTATATCAGTAATTGACGGTGGAAAATGGAATTAATTTGTTATTGACGGCGGTATGCATGCACTTAACCTGGCGGACAAAAGTCGTCCAATGGTTGCATGCTGTATTTTAGATCTCAAATACCGCCGAAATGATAACATAACCTAATATCTTTGCACTTAATTTTTTGAGAGTTGTAATACATTTAATTTTAAAATCAAAATATTCAAAGCAATCAGATGCGCCTTAATGAAAAGAAAATCAGAGAAAAACGAGAAAAAAAAAGAGTGAAACTAAAGCAATCAAAACACGGTTACAGCATGTTTTGATTGCTAGAGCTACAGTTAGACATTAACCTAACTTATGGTTCACCGACTGCCAAATCATTACTGTTATAGAATAATAAATAATAAATAGTGTCCCTCCATTCTGACAAACTCATGTCGAAAAAATGACTAAAGAATACAAGGACTAATAACACACGAGACCAAATTGTTACCATACCTCCAAACAGTGCAGTGGCATATTTCTTCTTAACTTAGCTGCTTGAAAAGATATTTATATTTTTGATAAATGTTTTGACTACGCTTATGGTGTATGCGGTGCCATCATACTAATTAATTACGAAAAAAATACGTATTAAAATGTTAATAAAAGGCACAAAACTAGTATCGATGTATAGCGCATCTCAAGTACATTATAATATCAGAAAAATAATTAACGAATTCAATAAGGAAACTAAGAAAACGCTAAAAAGTTAGAGTGAACTCTTTATTTGTCTATGAAAACTAACTCTTGGCTCTTTCTTATAGCAGCGGCTTTTACACTTGAAAGCTGAACAACTAATCACCATTGTAATAAAGTTTATACAAAGTTCACTACACACAAACTATTAAAAATCGTTAAAATAGTCGCTGGTGACCAGCTGATGACTCATTCGTTACATTCAAAAAAATGGCGTCTAACATCGGGAATTCTGCTGCAGCCCGTATATGGGCGTTACATGTTCTTGTATTCTTTAGTCATTGTGTCGAAATGATAACATAACTCTCTCTCTCTTTGGCCCGTTTCCCTGAAGAGGGATTAGTGACTATGATGTTCCTGTGGCGGTTTTTATCGTATTGTGCCAGTCCGCTCTGTTTTGAGCCATGCTGATAGTTTCATGAAGGCCTTGGCCGATTAGGTCTTTAGTTTGATCAACCCATCTCTTGGGTGATTTTCCTCGTGGTCGCTTTCCCTCTACCTTTCCCTCGACTATTAGCAGCTGCAGTGAGTCCGTTCTTCTAGCAATGTGACCAATATATGTCAGAAAACATCGGTTTTTTTTTGAGAGGCTGAGTTGTGAGTTTAGTTCTTGGAGAACTGACTCATTCGTACGATGGGCTGTCCAAGGTATACGTAGCAGACGTCTATATGCCCACATTTCAAAAGCATCTATTCGCCTGGTATCGCTTTTCTTCAGCGTCCATGTTTCCGCCCCATACGTAGCAATCGGGAAAACAAGCGAGTTCAGCAGTCTTAGTTTGGTGTTCTTAGTGATGGCTGTATCTTTCCATATCTTAGTTAATTTAGTTACGGCTGTTCTAGCCAGCGCAATTCTACGTCTTATTTCGCCTTCGCATGAGCCGCTGTTGTCGATTAGCGATCCCAGATATAAGTATTTATTAACCACCTTAAATCCAGCTATGTTTCCCACGTGAGGTTGGTTGTTGTTTTGTCGGTCCACAATCATGACAGTAGTTTTGTTAGGATTAAGTTTTAGCCCAAATTCTGTACTAGTTTCTTGGAGACGTTGCATAATAAATTCCATTTCTTCCACACTTGATGTTATGATTAGTGTATCGTCGGCATATCTTAGATTATTGATTTTCCTTCCCCCCACAGATACTCCACCTTGCCAGTTATCGAGAATATCACGCATTATGTACTCGGTATAAATATTGAACAATAGGGGTGAGAGAACACACCCCTGCCTGACACCCTTCATTGCTTGAAATCTATTTGATGTGACATCATTAATTCTTATAAGTCCGTAATTATGTTGGTATAGTTGTCGGATAAGTAGAATAAGGTGATCAGGAAC